TGTTCAGAAGCAGGAGGATGAGGAATGTAAAGCAGAAAGCTGCATGGGAACAGAATCTCTGAGGGAGTGGAGGGAGCGCTAGGTTCCAATGGGATGTGGTGGGAAGGAAAGGGGAAGAGATAGTGATGAGCCATCTGGGCTTTGCATTCTAGGTTCCAGTAATTAGACTTCGCCCTGTGGATGTGTGGAACAGTGATGTTTGGCAAGTTGGGAAGAAAAATGTGCAAGACACTCATTTTCAGGAAGATKTGTCTTCTACAGAGGAGAGTGACTGGGGCCACGTGAGGGTTGTGGGACYGCAAGGAAAGGGAGGAAGAGATGGGACAGGATGAAGGAAAGTTGGCAGGACTTGGTGACTGATTAGATAGGAGGTTTGTATTAAAGTGTTAGCCAGGTTTCAAGTCTGGGTGACAGGAGAATGTACATTATCTTAAACAGACATAGAAAAGCTGGCGCGTGAGGTCGGTTTTTTCACTTGTGGAGTCCAGCAGGCAGCCTGAGAAGGTAAAGAATTTGTGGAAATTTTTTTTCTAAGCAGGAAGAAACCTGAGAGATCATCTCTCCCTCCTGCCCTCTCATGTTACAGATGAAAAAAACACGGGACAGGTTAAGTGGTATGATCATTCTCAATGAGTATTTAAGAGGGAGATCCTATATCATAATGCAAAGGAATCCTAGTTGCATRAAATGGAAAAAAAGATCTGAAAGATGCCCTTGTGGGATCTTGAAGTCCTAAAAAGGAAAGAATTTGGAATGTGTGGAGCAGGAAGAGTAGAGGGCCAAAGAGCCCTTTATTCTGGGAGGAAGAAGGGAGTTGGCAGAGGAAGTAGCCARGAAGGATGCAGAGAGAAGCAAGGTGGGAGAGGTGGGGACTCAGGATGAGGACTGGGAAAAGCCACTTGTCTTGGTTAGATTTTTACAGTAGGAAACATAGTCACAAAAGTAAGTGCTGCCCATGGACTAAATCATGGAATCTTTGTGACTGTTCAAGATGGGTCATACTTCCATTTTACTGATGAGAAAACTGAGACAAAGAGAAGTTAAACTACTTGCTCAAAATGACACAGCTCTGTAGTGGAGGAGCCAGAGAATACCAATCAAGCATGATTTCAGGGGACAGATGAAAACAAAAGCAAGGAGTTCTGAGGCTGTTGGAAGTAAAGGGGGGGGGTGTGGTTCAAGGTTCTAGACCAGGTTACTTTGCAGATAAGGAGCTCAGAGAATGAAAGACAGAGGCCAGGGAAGCCAGAGGGGGCAAGCCTAGAGCCTTAGGCAACAGGAGATAAAACACTTCTGAGATTGTTTGCTGGCTCCYAGCCTTTTCACCACTAAAGGCTGTTTTTATTATTACTTAACTCCCAGGTTTCAAAGAGTTTGACTAACAACTTTAAGCTTTTAATTGAGGTACAAATTATGTACAATGCAATGTCCAGATCTCAGGTGTAACATTTAGTGAGTTTTTTTTTTTAAGTAGTTGATGGACCTTTATTTTATTTATGTATTTATATGTGATGCTGCGTGCCTAACACACAGGAGGCAAGTGCTCTACCACTGAGCCACAACCCCAGCTCCACATTTAGTGAGTTTTCATCATAAACTTAATATGTCATTTCACTTCCCAGTTTTATTACCCCCCAAAATGTGTGAAATTGCCAATTAGAACCTAAGATTATCACATCAGGCCGATACAATCTAGCTAAAAGTGAGGATACCTGGCATGGTACCCTGTTTAGCCTCTCTGAGGCTTTGTGAAATATATCCATATTAGCACATAGCTATATCTACATAACGTCATCTAAGAGTGCAGAGATCTAAGGACCCAACATGTATGAACAAGCTTAGTCAGTTATGGGAAGAGATGGCCAGGGAGAACAGGGCTATTTTGGATTTTATGCTTAAAACTATCTCTTTAAAAAAAATTATATATATTTCAAATATAAAATGACATTTTCTTCTTTTTTTGTGTGACAAGAAGATCTAAAGTCTACTTTTAACAAAAATCCCCAATCTAATACAATATAACTCTCATCCTCCTGTTGTACATTAGATCTCTAGACTGGTTCTTCTTACCTATCTGCAACTTTATATCCTTTGGCCTACATTTTCCCATTCCCCACTGGCTCCTGTAATCATTGTTTAATTCTCTGTGTATACATTTTCTTTTTTTTTTTTACTTTCCACGTGTAAGATCTTGCAGTATTTTTCTTTCTGTCCCTGGCTTATTTCAATTAGCATAGTGTACTTCAGGTTAATCCATTTGTGGCAAATGACAGGCTCTTTTCTTCAGGCTGGATCACATTCCACTGTGTGTGTGTGGATCACAGTTTCTTAATGTATCCATCCATCAGTCCATCAGTGGACACTTTTTTTTCTTTTTCTTCATATCTTGACTCTTGTGAGTAATGCTGGAAAGAACATGTGAGTGCAGGTATCTTTAAGAGGTGGTGACTTCATTTCCTTTGGGTACATGCCCAGTAAAGGGATTGCTGGGTCATTTGGTAGTTCTATCTTTAATTTCTTTAGGAATCTCAATTTGTTTCCTCCAACAATATACGAGGATTTCCTTTTCTCCATACCCTTGCCAACCCTGGTTATCTCCGGAGGTTTTGATGATAGCCATCCTAACAGGTGTGAAGTGATAGCTCCTTGTGGTTTTGATTTGCATTTCCCTGGTTAGTGACCGTTAGGCACTTTTCATACACACTTGGTCACTGTTGTGTCTTGTTTGGAGAAATGTCTATTGTCTCAATACCACTGGCCAAGCTATCAAAGTTGATTTTGGGGAGTTGAGCCAGGAGAGGTATGGTCCTATTAGTTCTTCTTAAAAAACAACAATGACTCATAAGATATTATAAATTTTAGTCTGTATAGCAACATATGTAGTAATAGTAAGGAATTGTTATTTTTTAGAGGTTTTTTTTGTTTTTGTTTTTGTTTTTTGGTACCAGGGATTGAACCCAGGGGCACTTTACCACTGAGCCATATCCTTAGCCCTTTTAAAATATTTTATTTAGAATCAGTTGTCTGGCTGAGTTGCTTGGGGCCTCTCTTAAGTTGCTAAGGCTGGCTTTGAACTCATGATCCTCCTGCCTCAGCCTCCAATGGGCTTACAGGCATGTACCACTGTGTACAGCTTGTTATTTTCTAGGTTTGAGAGTAATATGGTGGTATTGTTGAAAATGACAGGCTTACCTTTTAAAGATAATGCTGAAAAATTCCAGGTGATGGTGGGTGGGGATAAAAATGTAGCCAGACTGCCCTGAATTGAAAATTGTTGAAATTTGGCAAATGGTTGTTCATTATACTGGTCTACTTTTGTATGTATTTAAAATTTCACATACAAATTTTAAAAGAGAGGTTGGGAGAGTAATTCAGGGGTAAAGTATGTGCTTAGCATGTACAAGACCCTGTGTTCCAATCCCTAGTACCAAAAAATAAGTAAGTAAGTAAATAAATAAATAAAAAGAAGGATAAAATTAAAGATATCAGTCAGGTTTTAGCTGCATTTAACTGAGATTTTTCTATGATAAACCAAAAAAGTTTAACAAGGAATTAAGAACCTATAAAATTGCAGACAGAGGAGGTGATAGGCTGGGTGTCTAAGAATAATTACCATAACTGCACCATTCAGCTGGCTGACTAAGGTTAACTGCTAATTGTACCTACATCAGGAAGTCGTAAACTAGGAAGCCACTGTTACCATTGCATGCTCCAGGAACACATCACTCAGGCCAGATCTGACAATGAGGAATCATGACTACAGCTGTTGACTCTAGTGCCACCTACTTGCTATACCTGTTAGAATTGTTCCAGCAAAATGGATGCCTTCTCCCGCCACTACTACTCTCTGATGGTGAAATGTAATCACTGCTAGATCCCTGGCTGTAAGAGGGTGTGGGAAATGGAGTTTACTTCTTCCTACATGTTGTGAACTCTACTAAAAAAAGGTGGAAACAACTGAGTTGTCCATCCCACCACATACTACCATTCCCATCACACATTCCCACCACACAGTACCATCAGCAGTTGGTGTATTAGCACTGTTTCCAGTGTAATCTTAACTGTCTTTACACACAGTTCAAGTCCTGTCTCTTTAGAAAGCCTTACCTGACTTCTCCAGGCCCTATTTATTTTTCCTCCTTTTCTACCTTCCTGACTGTTTTCCTTCCTTCATGCACCCATGCATGTGTGTCATATGTGTGTGTATATATGTCTCTGAAACCTTTGTGGACATAGTCTTTGTTCTGCCATGTAATTTGATCTCTATCATGCAAACATTTTTTTTGGCATACCATCCGTTTATATGGGATGCCGTGCTTGCTTCGACAGGCGTTAAGTGACTTAAAGCAAGATAAGTTTGTATTTGTTCCTTCCTTGGGTATATAATTCCACATAGAGAGTAAATTTATGTATTTAACATGAGTACCATTGAAAAATGTACCAGTAAGTGTACCCGGATAATCATGCTTACCTTAAGTATCTTACAAGATTGTGGTACGGATCAGAAGTGTTCTGTGCTGAGTGAATTGTAATTTGTAACCTATTATAAATGTTGAGAGATAGTAATTATGATTAGGTTAACGCCAGGATTTTCACACGATGACCCCAGCATGCCTTTTAATTAATTGCATAGTTTGATGATTGTTTCTTATCTTTCAGTGAAAATGTAGTTCTTTGTTTTTTAAATTCAACCTGTACTTTCTGTCTCTCTGGGTTGAAGTCTAGGCTCAGGCCCCGTCTCCACCTGTCAGTCTTCTTTCCACCAAGCAGTCTGTCCAGCGATAGTGGGTCAGATGTCCATTTCTGGCACAGTCAATCAATTAACCAAGCATATGTAGTAATAGTGTAGACTTGGTTTACTGACAGAACTCAGGATAGAAAATGGTATCTTGTCAAGTGAAAAAAATACATATATATTTTAAAAGCTTAATGATTGGCATGATTTCCATCTTTGTAAATGTATATGTTTTTAAATTTATACTCATTCTTTCATTTACCAGATACTTACTGAGTGTCTCCAGTGTGCCAGGCAGCGGATCTATGCGCATAGAGGAACCTTGGAATGCAATACAGCAGTACGTATCCAGTGATCATCTCTTCTTGCTGATTTAACAGGTGACTTTTTTTTCTTTTTACCTGTTTCATTTCATTTGCAAAACCATTTTTTACAAAGACCTATTTGTTTATTAATAAAAAACTAATATTTTTGGGGGGTGTGGTACTGGGGATTGAACTCAGGAGCACTCAGCCACTGAGCTACCTCCCCAGCCCTATTTTGTATTTTATTTAGAGACAGGGTCTCACTGAGTTGCTTACCACCTTGCTGTTGCTGAGGCTGGCTTTGAACTTTCCATCCTCCTGCCTCAGCCTTCTGAGCCGCTAGGATTTCAGGCGTGCACCACCGCACCCAGCAAGAACTAATGTTTTTTTTAAACATACTTCTATTCATCAAAATGCTTATAAGATGCCATTCCATGAAGAAAGTAGATTGAAAACAATCTAAAATCCACATGTTAAATTTTAAAGGGGGGTGGAGGGAGGTGCAGTGGCAGTGGCGCCTGTAATCACAGCTACTTGGGAGGCTGAGGTAGGAGGATCATGAGTTCAGCCAGCCTCAGCAACTTAGCAAGGCCCTAAGCAACTTAGCAAGCTCCCGTCTCAAAATAAAAAAATAGAAAAATGCTGGGGATGTAGCTCAGTGGTTAAATACCCCAGGATTCAATCCTTGGTGCCAAAAATAAATAAATAAATAAACAAACAAACAAACAAATAAATGGTGAGGTGTTGTAGAGGTGGATAAATTGAGAAGGAGAAAAAGGTGGGGAAGAAAAGGTGGAGAGGAAATGCATTAAAATCCAACAGTGGCCCATTTTTAGGGAATACAATTTCTTTTATGATATTGTTCTAAAGATTCTCGAGTGAGCCTATATTGCTCTCAGAAAACGATTGTTTTCAATGTTCAGTCCAAAGTTACTTTTCCACAAAGCTCCTCCAGATGCCTGAATATGACACTTTTCAAATTTTTTGAACCATTCCATCACTTAGCACTCAATAAATACATTGAATGGATAGTGTTTCCCAAATGTAGCCTCAGACATGGTGATAGGTGTCACTAACTTTTTCTCTTCATATTCCAGAACAAGTTAGATTTCATACAGATTATTTTATAGCAAAATTTATTCCATATGATTAGTTCCTACTGACATTTGTCTAATATTGACCTGATTTTATTGGCCAGGTTTTCTGTCGTCTTTTGTCTTTAGCTCATTTCTTTAAGTAATTAGTTACATGTGTGCTGTTTATATACTACACACAAACACATATATTTGATATGAAAGTTTAAATTCAACGCTGGGCACAGAGGCACATGCCTGTAATCTCACTTAGGAGTCTGAGGCAGGACTATCACAAGTTCAAAGCCAACTCTGGCAACTTAGCGAGACCCTGTCTCAAAATAAAAAACAAGGGCTGGGAATATAGCTCAGTTGGTAGAGTGCTTGCCTCACATGCACAAAGCCCTGGGTTCCATCCCCAGCACCACAAAAAAAGGTGGGGGACAGGGAGCTGGAGTGTATTTTAGTAGTATAGTGCCCCTGGGTTAAATCCCCAGTACTGGGAAGGAAGAAAAAGAAAGCTTAAATTCAAACAGTAGTCTCCAAATCTATTATTAATCAACCTCTCTTCACCTCAGAAAATTTTTGTCTTGTGCCCTACTTCCTTCCAGTTTGAAGAGAGAAAAAGACTTCTTAACCCAGATTGGAAACTCCAAGCCTGCATTAGCTTTCTGTTAGACCTGTAGCATCACTTCAGTGGCCTTTGAGTAGTCAGGCAAGCAGAATCAGTTTGGCAGGAGTCCTAGAAATTACCTGGGTTAGTCCTTCTGAATAGCTTTCATCAAAGGGAGCCAAGAAGTGAGAGTGGGGTTTAAAGAATTTCAACTTTTGCTGAGTARAGATGGTGGGGACCATGGGTACTGTGTGAAGGCACTAGAAGCAGTTAGAGCCAGGAGTACTGTAGCCAGATCAGTCAGCTTCAGGCCAGGAGGAGCAGGGTTCAGATTTCTCTGTCTTGGCTTCCTGACTTCCAGGAGTGGCCCTGCCCTGTAAAAGGAAGAGGTTCCTGCCACATGAGGGATTAGAAAGTATGTTGTGAAAAATTAAAGGACCCTGAAACCAGGGAAGTCATTCTAGATAGGAGGCCATGTAAAGGAAAAGGAATATTTGGCCTGGATATGGAAAGAGAAGAAGGGAACACCTGAAAAGTATCATTCTAAGGTACTTTCTGTGGGTCCTTAAAATATTATCAATGAGTAAAATGCTTGCTGCGATATACTAGGATGTGTAGATGGGCGTGATAAAGTTCTGACTCTTAACTAAGTTAGAGTCATCCTACGGAATTCAGAATCAGACAAAATATTTTGTTGTTCAAGATGTTTGCCATTTGGAAGTATGAAAAACCAAAATTCCTATTGACATTCTGCCTCATTCGTGGGTCCCCATTATGTCACTAAGAATCCCAGTGAGGCTCCCTAGTGTTTATGGGTATTCACCTCTCTGGCCACCTTCTTTCTGACTTGTGATGCAGTGCCCCAAAACTCTTTCTTCCTCTTCTGGATATTTCATTGGTGACCTCTCAGAAATCTAATCCACAATCATCCGTGTAGGATAAAATGTGAGTTCTGATAGTCTTTCATTTCTGATGAGGAAATAGAGTAGCAGGTGGACTAGCCAAAATCCCCTGAGTATGAGTTTTTAATTCCTTAATTCCTTGACATTGGAGTGATTTCACTGAAGAGATTGATTTAATCTCTTGCAGTTGATGGATAAACTATTTGCTAAATTTCAAAACAATATCTGTCTTTTGCTTGGTTGGCCACCAGGTTGAGTTGTCTGTCAATCTTTGTTGATGCCACTTGAATGAGGATTTGCATTTTTATTTAACTGGAATTGCTACATCAGGGTGCTCTGTGCCTGTGCAGCCTGCACTCCAGCTATATTATGTGCCCTGTGATCTGACACATTAAAATAACTGACTCGGTTTCATTTTAAACACACGATTTCATAAAAGAGTATCTATATTGCCTGGAGCTGATAAGGCATTCCTCTAAATGTGAACATAAAGGTTATAGGATATGACTCATTTTACAGTTAAAAATAAAGGGGAATTTATGAGAGGCATAAACTTTACAGGTAGGCTTCTATGTTTTGAGGTGCAAAGATTTGCCTTAATGCATTCTACTAGCAAAATGTAAAAGTTGCATTATTAGTAAATTTACTGTTTACTTATAATAGTTCATTTTTCATCAGTGGTATTTTTCACATGATTAAGTCTTTTTTAATTTTGCTATATTTCAGGGGTATCACACATATATATTTGCTGCTATCTGCTACTACATACACTCAAAACGAGAAATTTGGACTAATTGTTTTGACTATAAATAACTTCTAAACATGATGCATTTCAAAAGTGGACTCGAATTAACTGAGTTGCAAAACATGACAGTGCCCGAGGATGATAACATTAGCAATGATTCCAATGATTTCACCGAAGTAGAAAATGGTCAAATAAATAGGTGAGTATTTTTCCACTAATATTTTCAATCCAGTGAAAGAAATGGCTTTTAAAAATTATTTCTGTTTTCCGTTATTCGTTTGAATTATTCATTACTAAAGTTATTCTCCATTTGAAGATGCAATTTGAATTTCTGATGTGACATCTGTTGGGCATAGTCTGCAATAGCAGATGAAGCAAATAGGAAAGTAATTTATTCATCTTTTCAAATCTTTCAATTGAGTCTAATAAAAATGTATAAATACATTGGACCCCAACCAGCCCAAACTTTCAAAAGCTCTGTGCTGATGAATTAGACTGTTGGAATTTCACTGCATCCCATATCTGAATATGTACTACACTCATTGGTACACATTTGAATCAAGAAGTGGCCCACGTTGCATTTGCCAGTGAACCTATGTTAAAACTAGAATTATGTCATCATTATGAGCATCATTTATATTGTGGATTTTAAATAATAATAACAATAATTGTGCCCATTTGCCATTATGAGAGTGTATTGTAGAGAAATGGTACATGAGGAGAAAGAAAAATAGAGGGGCAGGAGGGGAAAGAAGGCTGGTTTGGAAGCTCCCACCACTAGATGTGCCCTTGGGCGAGTCCTCCCAACGCTTGGGTCTCTTAATTATAAGAGCAGAACAAACAGTATGTCTTTTAAATGATTTGAGACATTTTCTGACTTAACTGATTTTTTAGCTGGTTTATGTGGATCCTTGGCAGGAAGTGGCTTGAGAGTTAGTGGCTTAGCCTCCTGAAAGTCTAGCAGAAGGAGAGTGGTATGTGTCAGACTATTTATTAGAACACCAATAAGTCACTTTGGTAAGGTCAGCAGGAAATTGGGGTAGGGGGAGATAAGAGCATTTTGTAAATTAACCAGATATCATTATAAAAATCTTTCTGGTAGTCTATTCTGTGTTCTCATTTAGTGAGTAACTGAAAGCCCACCAAAGGAATTAGCTGTCACTTAGAACACTTAGAATTTTCATTTTTCCTCTCTAAAATGAATATTAAGTCCTCAACTCAGGCTCTTTTCCTTAATAATCATGCAAGTATTATTTATTGTGTTAGATGACGATTGTTATTATTGGACACAAGTTTACTTTCTTTCATTTTTTTTTTTTTTGAGTCATACTAACTGCCAATTCTTGAATGCCAGGTATTTTACATGATACCATATACTCTTACAACTGTGATGCAAGGCGAGTTGTCTTCTGCAAATGAGGAAAATTTTAAAATTCAGTTTACAAATAAGGAAGCCAAGGCTCAGAGAAATAAGATAACTTTTGCATGGGCACATACAGAGTTGTCTAGGTCTGTGTCTTTCTGCTCTTCCCTCTGTCTCTGGTTGTACTTGGGTGTTGGTTGAAAAGCTAGGTTAATGGTTCCGTGCCATTTTGTGCCCTTTACTCCTGGAGTGTTCTGTAGTCACTGCTGACCTTCACTGAACAGTCACAACTGGGACATTTTGGTTTTTAACAAATCTTCATTCTCATAGCAACATAGCCTCGACATCATTTATAACATTCAGTTTAGAATCTGAACTTGATTTTTTTAAGTTTTACTTACTCTAACTGTTAAAGTTTTAGGTGATTTCCATTTGCAGTAGGTGAAAAAAAAAATACCCATCCTCATCCCAGACTTGGGCCCTTTGCCCACACGAACTCACTTCCCCATAGACTATGACTCGGCCTGTGAGCTGGTTCAGAGCTGTGGGTGCTGACCACTGGTTTTGTAGACTTTGGTTCCACTGTTTCCAATGCATTCTGATGCTTTTCTTTCTTTCTTCATTTTATTTCCCTTCCTTCACTGACATAGTTCACAAGTCTTATTTTTTTTTTTTCTGGCTCAAAGATAATTAAATTTAAAATAGCATATGATAACACTGAAGCTAATAAAGGTAACAAAACATAAAACAAACAAAAAACTCTGCCAATCTTAAGGCCCTCAATGGGTGACCTGGCTTATTGCTGGCATATTCTAGTAATCTATGGTTTCTGCAAAAGCTATACCTGAATATTTTTCACTCCTTTTGTAGCTTTCTCGCATTTGTGGGAAGAAGGCCGGACCAATTATATGAACCTAAAGAACACACCCCTTCCCAAATAGTGAACTGCTAGGTAGTAGTGACTCTTTTTAAGATGCTAGAGAAAATGTTGAAAACAATGCTGAACCCAGATTAGCTGGCATCTAGTTTGCCTGCAAACTCCTCACGGGGATACAATAAGAATTTTATTATTTTTTTCAGTTTCTTTTTTTAATTTATATTTTTTCTTTATATATGACAGCAGAATGCATTACAATTCACAATAAGAATTATTTTTTAAGTTTAGTTAATAATAGAGTAGAGCCAGGCATGCTTTACTCTGTTATTACAGAGTAGAGCTCTATAATCCTAGAGGTTTGGGAGGCTGAGGCAGAAGGATGGCAATTTTGGGACCAGTCTCAGCAATTTAGAGAGGGTTCAATCCCTGCTACCAAATTAATGATGATGATGATGATGATGATGTAGTAGAATCCCAGCAGGGTGGTGCACACCTATAATCTCAGCAACTCAGGAGGCTGAAGCAGGAGGATCACAAATTCAAGGCCAGTCTGAGCAATTTAGACCCTGTCTCAAAATAAAAAATAAAATGGACTGGGACTATAGAGTGTTTGTCTGGCATACACGAGGTCCTGGGTTTGATTCCCCAGTACTGAGGGGGAAAAAAAAGGTGAAAACCAAAAGAGAACCATTTGAGCATTAAAATATCTACAGTTATTCCAGTTCAATGTTTTTATTTTATTTTATTTCATGCCCTAATTTTGGGGTTTAATCCTAAAAATCTCTACCTGTAATGACAAAGCTTTCGAAATGTCTACTAGATCAGGGCTGTAGATAGTTTGATGTGCACATGAAACATTTAGAAACCTTGTTAAAATGCAGACTCTGATTCGGTAGGGCTGGGTTGGGGCCTGAGATCATGACTCCTGGCAAGCTCCCAGGTGATTCCCAAACTGCTGGTCTATGGACCGTACTTCTGAGTAGCAAGCTTTAGGCTCCTTCGGGACGTGAGCCTCTTGAGAGGGACTGTCTCAGTCATCTCTTTCTTCCTTGTACTGATCATTATATTAGACACAGGGGGGACATTCCAAATAATTACTTTTTGAATGAAGGGTGTGTGGGGGGTAAAGTAGATGGCTGTGGAAGTAGACCTGTGTGGAATCCTGGCTCTGTCATAGATCTATGTGATCTTACGTTCTAAGCTCAGGCCCATCCTTGTAAGACAGAAATAATGGAATTGTTGGGGAATGTGTAATGTAGTACTATTTTAGGTTAAGAACTTAGGCTCTGTAATCAGCCTGCTTAGGTTCAAATTCTGGCACAACAGTTTTAGTAATTAGCAATGTAACTTTGGTCAAGTTATTTAATTTCTCTAAAATAGCACAAAACAGTATCAACCACATGTAATTAATGAAAATAGATGAGAAAATCCACCTAAAGTACTTGGCACTGTGTCTGGCAATAGTAAGCCTCTTAGTATGAGAAAAGTCTGTCTCAATAAAGCTACAACCCTCTTTCTTTGGCAAGGACTCCTTTTTTCTCCACCCCAAAGAGCAACAATATTGCTTTAGGTTTTGGATGACTGCTGGTTATTGCTCTCTTAAATTTGTTGAAATATTTGTAGATTATCCTAAGTGTATCCAGAATACTCTTCAAATATTTCCATACTTATCTGCTGCTGTTCTCATTTCTATCTGTGGATGATCATTGTTATGAACCGGGTGTTATTTAACAAAGACTTTCATTAAGATTTGTTCTTAAAAGAACTTGAGGTAACTCCTGTCATCGCACCCTAAATCAACCTTTTTTGGTCTTTATATATTTTTTGGAGTTCATGTAGTGACTTTTTTTAAGTCACCAAAGAGGACCCTTGAAAAGTTCTTTCTTCTTTTTTCCTAATATATTTTGTATACTTAAGGGAAGAAGATTCCATAACTTCTTCCCATATTTAGTTAGAATATTCTTTCCTTGCTTCTRTCTTTCCTGTTACAATTAAAGTCTCTTTTCTCCATGTTTTTTTTTTTAATTTTATTTATTTATTTTTTTTAATATTTATTTTTTTAGTTCTCGGTGGACACAACACCTTTGTTTGTATGTGGTGCTGAGGATCGAACCCGGGCCGCACGCATGCCAGGCGAGCGCGCTACCGCTTGAGCCACATCCCCAGCCCCTCTTTTCTCCATGTTTAGTGGGGTTCATTCACCAACCAAGGCTTTCCTGCTTCTCAATCTTCTCTTTAATTGCCTCTGCTATTTCGTTAATTCTTTCTCTTCATTTTTCTGATCCCTTTTTCCTTGCTTGAGGAAAGGTCATGTAAGCTGAGCCACTCAACTCTCTCTTGTCTCTTTTTTTGTTCTGAATCCTCAAATGAAGCACTATAATCTAGTAAGAACCTAAGCAATGGAGATTAAAACAGGAAGATTATGTTTCCATTGTACAACTCATCCTTAACTGGATTGTTGTGGTGGTTGATTTATTTTTAGTTTTACATAAGTGCTTTTATGTTGCTTGCTTCTCTTCTCACTACTTACATCCTTCTAAAGATTTTTTTTTTTTAATTAGGGGTCACCAAATCACCCGTTGTAGGGTTTAGTTTTGTTTTCTCAGAGCAATTGGCTACCTAATGGTTGATCAAATTCTGCTTTATGGGAACAGACTGACCCAGTGCAAACTCTTTACTTTCATCATCCTAAGATCACATGTCAAAGACATTTTATCCCATGGCACATTTTAAGTTAATAAAAAGAAATTTTAAGTCAATTTCATTGTGAGGTCAGTGCTTTTTTAACAAACAGTTGTGTTTTTAAAATGATAACAGAAACTTGTGATGAGCTGCTTGACCTAGATATTTTGAATGGAATTTTCCACTACAAAAAAGGTTGGTTTTTATCCATTTTTTAAAAAGTTTATAGGAACACAAAGATTTAAAAGCTTTAAATATTTTTAAAATTCTACCTAGTTGATAGGGCTGAGGCAGGAGAGTCACAAATTCAAGACCAGCCTGGGCAACTTAGCAAGAATCTATTTCAAAGTAAAATTGAAAAAAGGCTGGGGATGTAGCTGGGTGGCAGAGCACCTGCCTAGTATGCATGAGGCCCTGGGGTCAATCCTCAGCACTATTATGAAAAGCTAAAGGGAAGAAAAAGTTGAAACACCACAAAGAGAATAAAATATTCTTCTTTAGCTAAATTTTCCTGCAGCTTAAACTACTTCCTAATTCCTAAGTAGACAGTACACACTCAGTTTATATTCCCGGGAATTGCCAGTGTGGGGGTGGAGGAAAACAGAAGGAGCTAAAAGGCACAGGGTGCACGATATAATCACTATGGATTCAGGATGAGTAAAGCAGTAAGTAGGTTGGAGTGAGAAAACTCAGTTCAAACCAGAGTGTAGGAAGACTTGTGATCGCTAAGGGTTTTCACTTGCAGGAGGGGACTTACTGGGAGGACTAAGGGCTCCTCTGGGGAGAGGGATTCCTGCCACTGCCTTGTTTTTCATTCTCTGTCCTCGGGAATGCCCTGTCTTGTCTCCACCCACACTTGGGGACCTAAGATCTGAACACTGAGGCAAAATCAAATTAAGCAGCACTTGAAATGGCATGGTGAGGAATTTGTACCTGAAGCTTATTCAGTGGGGAAGCCAGTGGAGATTTTTTTGGGAAAATCTATTAAGTCTTACTGCAGAAAGTGGACCAACAGAGGCAGAGCTGAGGAGTCACTCAGCAAACAATAGGCTTTAATGTATTCCTTAATGGTTGTGCCTTAGAACAGCTCTGTAAATCAGTTTCATCTCCTTCTGCAGTTCCACAGGAAATTGCTGGAGGCCAGGCAGGGACTTTAGTCTTCTGCTCTTCTAGTTGCACAATGTTTGACCCTATTTAATGTCCCCTCCCCCATGTCAGGTTGCCCACATCCTTTTCTTCTCTGCTCACCAGTCCTCTGCCATCGACTCTGAGGAGTGTTGGCCAGGCCTGGTACTGAGATCTGCCAAAATGGTCCATTGATGGGTTTATTTGAAAAAAAAAAATGCTCAGGCTTTTCCCTTAATTTGAAAATAATGGAAATTCTCTTTGGAAAACAAGTTTTCTCCACAAGAAAGGCAGATGGGGGACTTGTTAAGTCAAGATTTGGTAGACTTGAGTTCTGGTCATTCAAATTAGCCTGATTACATTCAGTCTTTATGGAACAACAGGACTTAAATATGAGTCAGTTCCATTTTGGAAAGTCCAGAACCCACACTTCTTTGGGCTGCCAGTCTGGAAGGGAAGGTTGCTTTTCCCTGACCCTCTGCAGCCAGATCTGTAAATCTCAATTCTGTGAAAAGATTGAGAATGTTAAGGACAAAGGAAAGGCCAAACCAGTCCTTAGCAGCAATGCTATGCAGCTGTCAGAGTTCAAAAATGCTATGATGCCATGCTGTTGTTAAAAACAAGCAACACTATTTCTCAGGTTTAAATGCTTTTAAGTTTCCAATGGCTAATCCCCCCCCAATACTTGCTTTTCCTTCTCTGGATTCCTTATCTCATCTTCATTTTGCTCAAGCCAACATTTCTGTACTGGTGTTAGCTGCTATGGTCTTATTTCAAGTGGAGCATGAACTCCTATTTCTGGAGACCAGGTTTTCACTGTGGTCCTTCACAGTGACTGGCAGGGTCTGAGGATTGTGCAGTTTATGCACATGATGGCTTCAGAGTGAGTTTGTAGTATATATTTTTTTTCTGGTCTTTGACTTATTCTGGCAAAATAGTATAAACTTGGAGAAGTAATGCCAGGGAGAACCAGATCTCTTGGATTAAAGATGAAGAAGGGAGATGAGTAAAATCAACATCAATGTAACATATGATTCATTTTTTAAAAAAATGCCTTATTGTGAAGTACAACATGACTCAAAAAGTGTTTGGAAATATAATGCACAGTTTCAAAATACATGCTCTTTAATACTTCAGCTTAGGTGGTTTCAAACTTATTAATGAACAATTCACTGTGATTAGTTCTAGCCATGGTCAGATAATTGATCTCCACACCTGGAAGGACCAAAAAGCAGCCTTAATGTGTCTTGAGAATACATGAAGTGGTTTACCTCCTTTGACAAAATTATTTTTTTAACTAGAGATTTTTTTAAAAATTAGAAATTTAGGCCATCAAGTTCTGATATCAACTCTGAATGCATTCAGTGAATCTAATGATTCTTAGAGCATTTTTAATTTTTTAGTTGTATGTGGACACAATGTTTTTTATTTGTTTATTTTTTTTTTATGTGGTGCTGAGGATCGAACCCAGGGCCCCAGGCATGTGAGGCAAGCGCTCCACCACTGAGCCACAACCCCAGCCCTGAATTTTTTTTTTAAGAGAGAGAGAGAGAATTTTTTTTTAATATTTATTTTTTAGTTCTTGGTGGACGCAACATCTTTGTTTGTATGTGGTGCTGAGGATCGAACCCGGACCGCACACATGCCAGGCGAGCACCCTACCGCTTGAGCCACATCCCCAGCCCCCCTCCCCAGCCCTGAATTCTTACTACTATATATTTGTGTGTATCCCATCCCAACTCAGGCCCCTCCCATGCTGTGGAGAGGGATGACTAATGTCTGTCCCTCTCATCTGCTGCTAGGTGCTGGACCCATGTTTTATACGTGCACTCTCTGTGAATTCTCCCAGTAGTGCTGTAGGGCAGTGTCATCATGTCACTCCCATTTCACCCTGAGCAGACAGGGTGGGGCATGCCCAGGTCCCCAGACCTGGTAAGGATTTGAACTTAAGTTATGAATCCCGTATGCTTTCTCAAAGCCCTAGCTTTACCCCTAAAGTGTGGACCATGAGCCCTGCCTCCCCTGCCGTAACTTTCTGAGTGCTATAGGAATTAGACTAATTAGGAATTAGAATTAGAATTGGTGCTATAGGAATTAGAATTCTTTTTAGTTATACATGACGGTAGAATGTATTTTAACATATCATGCAATACATGGAGTATACTTCCCATTCGTATGGTTGTACATGATGGGGAGTTACATTGTTCATGTATTCATATATGAACATAGGAAAGTAGTGTCTGATTTATTCTACTGTCTTTTATTCCCATCCCCCCTTCCCTTCTTTTCCCCTTGTATAATCCAAAGTATTTCTGTTCTCCCTCACCCCTGCCTTATTGTGTGTTAGCATCCCACATATCAGACAGAACACTTAGCCTTTAGTTTATTGGGATTGGCTTATTTCACTGAGCACAATAGTCTCCAGTTCCACCCATTTACCAGCAAATGCCATAATTTCATTCTTATTTATGGCTGAGTAATATTCCATTGTGTATATGTACACACATTTTTATTATCCATTCATCTGTTGAAGGGCACCTAGGTTGGTTCCATAGCTTAGCTGTTGTGAAATGAGCTTTAATAAACATTGATATGGCTGCGTCACTGTAATATGCTGATTTTAAGTCCTTTAGGTATATTCCAAGGAGTGGGATAACTGGGTCAAGTTTTCTGAGCAATCTCCATTTATGAAACAGGGAGAGGGAATTTCTATTTAGTAACTCTTGGACTCCTAGAGTATGAATGAACTCAGAAGAAAGGTTGCCTCTAGTATTCTTTAAAATGCCAGGTTTATAGTAGTCTTTCTTGTTATCTAATTTTCCACTTAAAGGAAAATCTACATAAATAATTAACTTACATTGTATGTAATATTGTCATTTATTATGAAAATGATTCAAAATATATAGCTGTTTTAACTTAGAGTTKTGTTTCATTTCATCTCAAAATGAGCATCTGTTACAGGTATTTTTTGGTACCAGGTAGAGTGAGAGATATAAAAACAAATGAGGCAAGGTACCTACTTTGGAGCACTCAGCATTTATTTGGTAAAACAAAAATGTAGGCAAGTAATTCTGGTAAAACAAACAAACAAACAAACAAAAATAGGGGGTGTCGAATAGGGCAATACATGTTTAGGCAACCAGTTGATAAATTTTCATATGTAATATGTTTTGGTAAGCAATAAATTTTTAGTCTTGATGTTAAGCTTGAAATCATTATCATAAGGTTAAATATATTATGCATGTCTTTACAGCAAGTTTATTTCTGACCGTGAAAGTAGAAGAAGTCTCACAAACAGCCATTTGGAAAAAAAGAAATGTGATGAATATGTAAGTGTCATTATAATAAAGTGTACTTATTTTTTAATCACATAAATTGGRACAATTGTTTTTAATTCATATAGCATGGTACCAAAAACAGAGTTGTCCGTACACTAGGATATTCCTCACATATCCTATGTAATTTCTCCTGAAACCCATTTAAAAAAAATAACTAGCTCAACTCAGAAAGGATTTCCATGCTGGTTCCTAGTAGTGCTTTAAAAGCTTTGGCCTGATGGGCTTTCCTGGAGACGGACTGACTCAGTGGGAACGTGTGTTTCTTTGTTCAGATCCCAGGAACGACCTCCTTGGGCATGTCCGTCTTTAACCTGAGCAATGCCATCATGGGCAGTGGGATTTTGGGACTCGCCTTTGCCTTGGCCAACACTGGAATCCTTCTCTTTCTGTGAGTATTGGCATGACAGAACTTTCCATTTTTAGAACTTTTCTGTATACTTATGTTACTACGTAGAAGAAATTGGAAATAATTCTAAATAATTCGTATTTATTTATGTCTAACTTGGCTATGTGAGCAGTAAGACTTTTATTTATCGTCAGACTGACCTTTTTATTAATTAAAGAAATTGAAATAGCCTTTAAAAAAAAAGATTAAAACATTTGAAAATAGCAGTTTTTCTTGTACTCTTCTTGTCTCTTTTCATATCACCTAAATGGGCAAAATATTAAGATATTTAACTCAGCCGGTCACCACTTTGGTATTTGGAGTGCCATGGAGCATGTACTATCGCCAAAGACAATTAYAGAGGTGTTTGTAAGAAATGTGCAAGAAGCAGAGATGAGAAATGASTTGTACCCTTTCTCTGAGATTCAGTGATAAGAAAATGGCAATTTTCTTTTTGAATAACTTCATCTCCAACCGTTGAATGGGATTTTCTGCAAATGTTGTCAGCTGGAACATGATTAAGACAGATCATAGAATTCATACCAGGAAAAGTSTCCCCCAGCCTGCAGAGCCGAGTGTCAGGGCACCTTCCTGTGTGAGGCCAGGAGCACGTGCGTCCTCTTGGCCCTGCCTGTTCCCCAGTTTTGCACTAAGGCTTCACAGACCTTGCTCTGTTTGGTTCTCATTGTTATGTCTTTCTAATGGTAGCATCATTTTCTTGGAAACAGAGACCCTACAGATTGTGTGTGTGTGTGTGTTGCCAAGTACCAGGTTTAAGAGTGATATGACATATTATTATTATTATTATTATTTTCTTTTTTTGGTATATGTGAAACTCTGAGGATGCTGCAGGCATATTGGGTAGTTACACTTATGATTTTCAGTGCATTGACATGAGACATTGGGTCCCAACTCCTGTTCTAAGTGACGTGTACTCTTAAGCAAGTGACTTAGCCTCTCTAAGCTTCCCTTTCTTTCTCTTTAAGACAAGGARATTGTACAAGATCAGATCTCAGAACCCTGCCAACCTCCAAAGCCCTATGGTTCTGTGACTTCTTTCMGTCATTCCAAAGCTAGAAATTCATGGAGTTCATAAATGTGTATTACATTGATTTCTTTCTTTCTTTTTAAAAAGTTATTGTAATATATCAAGTTATATGTTAAAGTATAAAAAGTCAATTACTTGATGGGCGTAACAACTCTTGCAGCTCTCRCTTTATTCTGCATCCTGACAGCTCTACAAGGTAGGTACCATACTATCGACAGTTCCCCATTTCACAGATAGGGAACTGAGGCATAGGGAGTAACTTGCAATGGGAATCTCTCTTTGTCACCTTTCTGGGGATTCCCTTCACTCCTCTTCTGTGGTAGAACCCTTGTTTGCTGTATTTCATTTCTTCCTCTTTCTAGTTTTATTTCCTTGCTGTTATTGCTGTGAAAAACATGAATGGGAATAAAGTTTTTGAGTTTCGTGTCTGAAAAATGTTTTGATTCTACTTTCATCTTTTGTCTGTTTGTTTTTGTTTTTGTTTTGGAGGCATCTCTTTTCTTTATTTTAAAATACAAAACTGTAGGAATTGAAATAATATGGTAGTGACATTAAAAAAAAAAAGGCATACAAATTGGTGGAACAGAATACGAGCCCAGAACTAAATCCCATATATAGTCAACTGATCTTCACCAAGGATGCAATATTAGACCAAGGAACAACTCCCAGTAGAATTGGGACAACAGAATATTCACATGCATAATGATGAAATTGGACCCAGATTTTATGTCTTACAGAAAAATAAAGCTTGAAATGAACTAAAGACTTTAAAAAAAAAAAAAAAAGAACCAAGGCTATAAAAGTCCCGGAAAAAAAACAAGAGGATAAACTCTATGACTGTGGTCTTGGCAGTGATTTCAAAGGAATGATATAAAAAACACAGATAACAAATCAAAAATAGATTAGTGGAGTTGCATCAAATGAAGAAGCTTCTTTTTTTAAAAAAAWTTTKKTYYWAWTWMYTWWWAA